CCACGAAGCCAAGGAGCTCCTGGCCACGGAGGAAGGGGACGAGCTGCATCCGCCAGAACAAGAAGTTCTTCAGCGTCAGCTTCATCATGACGTAGTGATGGGCTCCGGCGAGTGTATTTGCGCCGGCCGGCGAGGGATTACCGGCGACGGAGACAGTGCGTCCGGGGGAGGTAGACATACTGGAGATTGTACGGTGAGAGTGGGTTAATTTTGCGGTGGAGGTTGGAGAGATCGGATAACCTGACTGATACCAGATTAGAGAAGTCTCCTAAGATTGATTAACACAACAATAGGATTACAGAGTATATCTTGAATGAAACTCTAACTAATAGAATAAACTAAGTCAGCTATTCTAATACCACACGAAATGTAACTATATAATATAAAATAATAATAACAAATAATAGTCACACTAACAGATATAACAACTGGTTCAGCCCACCCGAAAAAGTACGACAACCCAAGGTTTAGGGTTAGGGCCAACCCAAAATCGAGAATAAAATAATAAATAACCGATTAGCCCGACAGATCGACAAGGCTTGCCTGAAACCGAGCAGGCTGGCCCGATTGACATCCTATAGTATTGTCAGGATAAACGCTTACCACTACGCCAAAAATTATAGTTAGTAGCGAAGACGCAACTTTATTTCATTATACTTGTACAACAGTTAATGCTACGTTTTGATGGCATGATGATAGACTCGACTCTCTGAATCGCCGCCCAAAAAGTATAATGTTTATGTACATTATGTTTCCTTTTTTTTTTTATGAACATATCGAAGAAACATTATGAACTTACAACAGAGTAAATGGAACCAGATATGATGTACTTACAATTTAATTATTATTTATGTGTATTAAGGTTTATATCTATAATCATACAGAACAAACATAATTGTTGCGTGACACCGTCTTACACTCTTACGTGAGACGTGCAATATTTTTTTGTTAAAATGTGATACTTTTATGGGTGCATAGAAAAATATTACCCCGTATATTTTAACTAAAAAACACTACATGTTTCAAGTGAGAAATTCTTACATAAGACATACTCATAGAACAAATATTATGAATATAGTATAATATGAATGTTATTAAACATAATGCATATGTAATATAATTGTATATACATTAAATTTTGTTTTTATGAACATATAAAATTGACATTATGAACCTACTACATAGTGAATAGAAATAGATTGATTTGATGTACACACTGCTTAATTTTCATGTACATTAAGGTTTAAGTTTATAAACATATAGAGCAAATATTATAAACATAATACATGGTGAATGCTATTAAACATATTGTACTAATTGACATCAATTTAGACAAAAATCTACAATGCAAGGTGAACAATGATATATGATATAATTTGGTAAGAATAAATGTATAAATTTTTATTAGAAAAAATATATTTTGAAAAATTAGAACCCCGGCCCAAATTTATTTTATTCTTTTGTCTAGAATATTGTTATTCAAAGCTACGAAAATCTGGGCATATTAAAGTATGTGCTTCATCTCAACTAAAAGTCTAAACTGATAGTTAAATTACACATTTGTGTTTATATATATTATATGCCCAACAAAACAAACACACAAAAAGGTTATAGAAAATCAATATTCAAGTGTTAAAGTTAAAAGACAAGTTAGCAAAATGGTTAACAATGGAAACAAGGTCCATATTTCGAATCTCAAGGAGGACATATTTAAAAAAATAGAAAAGATGTTAGCAAGGTTGAATGTATAGAAGATTTAGAAAAACAAGGTTCGAATCTCACTCTTGACAATATTAAAGGAATAGCAAGCTAAGGGTGTTAGCAAGGATGGAAAAGACCAAGAGAAGTGTTGGGTTCGAATCATAGCAAAGGCAAATATTTAAGTTGCAAAGATGTTAGAAAGGATGTTAAAATACATGTCTTGAAGGAAATGCATGGTTCGAATTTCACCCTCATCAAATTAATCAAGTAAAAGAATTACTTGCAAGGAAGGTAATACCAAAGGTACATGATTCGAATCTTATTGCACTGCTGGAAATTATAGAATTTCTGACCACCTGAAAATGATCTTAAATCAAGTCGAAAGCCTTGTTCCGACCATTTTTGGTATCCGGAAAAACCTTTGTTGCTATTTCTGACCACTTTTTACTTTCAACTTGATATAAGATCACGTTCAGGTGGTCGAAAATTCCGTAATTTCCAGCAGTGTTGGTGACATATTTTTATGGATGCTACAAAAGATGTTAAAACTAGCATTAACTACTAGAAGTCAAAGTAGCAAGGATGCTAAGTGGAAGAAAGCTAGAAGAAAATGCTATCAAGGATTAGGTCGCTAGAAGTAGTTACTAGAAGTGAGTAGTAGCATTGGCTACTAGAAGTAAAGTAACAAGAAATGGAAGATTGCTAGAAAAGAATGCTACAAGGATTGGCTTCTAGAATCAAGAAGTAGCATTGGCAAATAGAAGTGATTAGTAGCATTGATCACTAGAAGTAAAGATAGTAAAGTTGACAAGTAGTAAGGGATGCTAAAACAGAAGTTGGACGTAGCATTAGCCACTAGAAGCGAGCAGTAGCATTGATCACTAAAAGTAAAGATAGCTAGCGAAGTTGACAAGTAGCAAGGGATGCTAAAACAGAAGTCGGACGTAGCATTAGTCGATAGAAGTGAGCAGTAGCATTGGTTGCTAGAAGTGAAGATGGTGTTGCTAAGCTTGAATGCTAAATTAGCACTCACCACTAGAAATGAAAGATAACACTACTTGGGAGAAAGACATAGAGTGGCCTGCAAGCATGGTAGCAACACTTTTTTTACATGGCAAAAATGAAATGTTGTAGCAAAGATTTGTAGCAATGCAAGGATTAGTAAGCAAAGATGTTAACTAATATGTTAGCAAGCTTGATGGCAGAAATCAATCTCTCGTTCCACTCAAGTGAAGGCCGAATGATTGAGGATCAACAAGGCAACACAGGAGAAAACCAAAGTGAAGATCAAAACTCAACCTAGAGTTTGAATGAATCAAATCTCATGTTCCAAACAAGGGCTAAACAAATATTGAAGATCAATTAAAATCAAGAGTCCAAGGAGAACAAAAACAACTGGAGAAACACAAGAAGAACTATATACACGAGAAAAAGGTTATATGCTACAAATTCAAGAACTTTTTCTATGGAAGTTACTAAAGAATATATGCCAAATGTGAAAGGAATTTCAAAGTCAACAAAGCCTAAAGATATAGACCAAGTTGCAAGGAAAAATTTCAACATGTCATAATCAAGTTGCAACTGGAGCCAAAAGAGACGATCAAATTGTCAACCTATCAGATCAGGCTACAAGTTACAAGAATTCAAAAATCAGATTATCCCGCTCCAACAGATACATTTGATCATCTATAAAAGGCATGAAGACTTAAAGATCAACACACTAACGAAAGAGTTCTGAGAACAATCCTAAGAGCACATACGAAGCATCAAGTAATCTTCTAGACTAGTCTTATATACTCCATAGAAATATCTAAAAAAGAGACTAATCCTTAAAAAGTCTCTGAAAATTGGAGAATTTTTTTTTTTATTTTCTTGTAACATAAATATCTACTGGGTGTAGATAGAGGGAAGAGTAACAAGAGGAGCTTGTGAAAACCTTGAGAAGTGCAGGCTTTGTGCGAAGCACTCGAGCTGTAAAGTGATGTTGAGTTGGTGAACTAGCACTTGGTTGTTCACTATTATATCTAGGTGATTGAAAATAGTGAATTCCTCCTTGAAGTGAAAGGAGTAGAGTAGAGTAAAAAGATTACACCATTTTCGAACCACTATAATAATTCTCTCTCTTTCTCTTTTATTTATTGCTCTCACATATAGTTTGCTTTGCATGCAAGATATCTAACTTCACACACAACTTTCATACATTTCTATCATATTACATGTAGTGATTACTTATTCAATATTTCATTTTTGAATATAGCACTTTAGTACATTTATTATGTTGTGCACTCTAAGTTAGATTTTCATTAATCTAATTTACTTGGAGTTCCTCACCAAAAAAAAAATAATAATAATAATAATAATAATAATAAGGGAAAAGTGCATTTTTCGTCCCTAAGTTATAGGGTAATTGTAGGATTCGTCCCTAAGTGTTGTAAATACCCACTTTTCATCCCTAAGTTATAAGCTATGATGCAATTTTCGTCCTTTTTCTAACAGAGGTGTTAAGTGACTGTTTAATGTAAGGGTAATTCTGTCCAAACACATTTAGGCTCATTATTAATTTAATATTTCCCTAATTATACTCTTTCCCTAATTATACTCTTGTACTCTTGCGTAGACTGGGTCATTTCTTTTATCATTTTTTCATATTTTAAACATGCAAAATTTATGATGTTAAAAATTGTTTTTGAGATGCTCCGGCTTGTAAGTACACAAAAATTTTAAAACAACACTCAAGACTTTCAATAAATATAATATTGATTTCTTTCAATATATTGAAATGTTGGTAGTTTTCAACACAAAAGACTTTCAAAATTAAAGTGATTCACAAAAATCATTCTAGAACTTACCTATTAACTACTTAGCTTGTATTAAATATTGGTTGCATTACAAAAAATAAAAATAAAAAATTCAAGATCTAAGCAGCATTCAAAAAGCCTTCTAAACCTACATACTAATTGATGCTATAAAGCATCATCTTCATTTATGTTGTTTGGTCTTTCTTGGTGCACAACCTTGACTCAATTTTCTTTTTCTTGGTGACTTTCCAACTGTCTGTGATGGAGTTGTTTCTCTATGTATCTGTGTGCATTGGGGACCAAGGAGTTATGTTCTGCAAACAAGGAATTAGATAATTGTAGTCCATTGAAAATCAAAGTTTTTGCAAATTTACATATTATCTTTAAAGAAAAAGAAAAATTTAAGAGTATTGACCAATCAATTCATCATGCAAAGCATTAGAGATTATCATTTCAATGACATTATCATTTGGAACAAACCATGCAACAGCACCAGGGGCTGGACTTAAACATTAGCAACTTCAACAGCAAGTGGTTCAACTTCAGCAGCTATATTAGCCACAGGGTGTTCAACTTCAACTTCAATAGCAACAGGGTGTTCAACTTCAACTTCGGCAGGGGGTTCAACATCATTTTGCCTCTATTGAGAAAGTGTAATAAATGATAATGAAATTGTCGATATAGAAAACATAATGTAAAGACAAATACAAGTGTAATTACCTGGTTTTTGCAGCTACGCTTGTTATGGCCATATTGTCCACAAATTGAACACTTCTTTTTCTCACCCTTTCTTGATAACTTGCTAATTAGCTTATCACCCACAACAGATTCATTCTCAATAGGATCTCTCTTCCTTAGTTTTTTTGGTCTGCCTGGTTGCACTTTATACTTGGGTGGTAGTGGTGGTTTTTGGCCAGTTTTTGTCCATAAATCTGAGGGATGAATTGGCATTATTGCTGGTTTATAACTCCTCATATATGCTTCCACAGTATAGCAATGATGGACATAATCTTCAGGTACTTCCCCTTTTGTTCTAATTGCTGCAATGGCATGACTACAAGGGATTCCATTAAGATCCCACCTCCTACAACTGCAACATCTTTGATTCAAATTTACCTTGTAAGTCTTAAAAAAGCCAGAAATGTCTTCAACTTGGTAGTTGTCATCATTTGCTTTGTATGCTATCAAATCACCAGTGTGTGCCTTGTTTTGTTCAAGAATTTTTATGATTTTAGGGCATATTTTCATTACACTTCCCTTCATTTTGTCTCTGTTCTTCTGCATCCTAGACATTAGGTAAATTCTCAAGCTCTCCACATTGTTAGTATGTACTTATCCCTTGCATGACGAATGGAGCTGTTAAATGACTCACACAAATTATTCAGCAGCATGTCAGACTTTAGATAATCAGAAAAATATGCCCTGCAAAAGTGTCTTGGTTCCCTATCTAATATCCATTGGGCAGTTTTTGGATTTAATAATCTCAAACCTTCCAAGTGCTTTTGAAATTCACTTTCTGTAGTTGATCTACAAACAGCCCAAAAATTCTGCTTCATGACTTGACCACCATATCCATCCTTGCTGAAATTAGCATGGAGATGCCTCACACAATGCCTATGTTCTATATATGGAAATAACTCTTCAAAAGCAGGTACTAATCCCTTTTGTTTATCAGAAATAAAGGTCCATCCAATGGGGTTTTGAGAAATATGAAGATCACCATCTAATAACTCAAGAAACCACTTCCAAGTTTCGTTTAACTCACCTTCAACCACAGCAAATGCAATTGGGTACATGTTGTTATTAGCATCTACTCCAACTGCACTTAATAATTGTCCTCCCTTTTGATTTCCCTTCAAATGGCATCCATCTACACCAATTAAGGGCCTACATCCATTTAAAAACCCTTCTTTACATGCACCATAACATATATACAGCCTCTTGAATCTACTCCTACCCTCCATTGAATAAGTGTTGTCCAAAATTAACTTCACAGTAGTGCCAGGGTTAGTTTTCTTAAGTTCTTCACAATAATCCGACAACAAATTATACTGATGATTTTGAGAACCAGTTACTAGCAACTTTGCCTTTTGCTTGGCCCTAAATGACTGAAATTTTGAAATATTGCATCTAAACTTTTTCTTCACATGCCTTTGGAATTGAACTCTGCCCCATTCCTCATTTAATTTGAATTCATCCTTATAATATTTGGCAAGAAATCCAGATTTAATCAGTTGATTGTCATGTTGTTCACCACAACTATGATTGAGCCTATATGTTTTAATGGTAAAAGGACAATTTTCATTGCTCCTAGAACCAAATATAACCCAGTCACAATTTACATCCCTACACTTTGCTCTAACTCTCCTAGGCTCATTCTTCACAAAGTAGACATCCTTTTTTCTCAATGCTTCATACCTTTCAATTGCCCACTTAAACTCCTTGTTATCTTTAAAAATCATTCCTTCTTGAAATTGAAAATCCTCCAAGTTGAATTTTGATTCACTAAAAACTAAACTAGAATTACTCCCTTCCTCCACATCAGAATTTGAACTAATACTCCTTAATTCATCTTCAGAATCAACACAATCTACTTCATTTATTTGGGCAATTGAACTACCAAATTCCTCTACAACATTTGTAGCTGCACTATCAGCAACATTACCATGTTCATCTTCACTTTAAAACTGAGAATCATCAAATTCACCATCTAATGATGTTGATTTTTCATTCTCAGAATTACAGTTACCCCCTTCACCACTATGTCCTTCATGTGAATCTAACAAACCAAAAGACTCGGTTAAAAAAAAAAAACAAACAAACAAACCAAAATATATTTTACAATTAAACAAGTACAACACTAATCAACATTAAATAATGAAGACAAACAAAGAATAACAAATATACTATTCTGGTTTTATTCATACGTGGATCCAATATTTTTTTGATTACATAAACTAATTCATAAAAATTTCAAAACCCTAAACATGAAACTATTAAACAAATAACAAGAACTAATATTTTACCCAACAATCAATTAAACAAATACACAAATTTTTCAATTATATAAACTAATTTGTAAAATATTTAGAATCTAAATGCAAAACAATTAAACAAATATGGAGTAACACGAACTAACATTTAACCCAACAAGCAAACAAACAAAAACTAAGCCCTAAACATTAAAACAAAATAACGAAATTAAAGAAAAATATGCCTTGCAAAATTAACGAGAAATTGAATTGCTTAAACCTTCGAAAATTAACAAAGGGGAAGAACTTACATGGTAGAGTTCCCTTCCAGCCAAGTAATCGCCGATTAATTATCGAGAAATTTTTAGAATGCTTCATCTCTTGACCATCAATTTTGTGTGTTTGAAATATGAAAAAATAGTAGCGTGAACTGTGAAGTGGAAGAGTTAGTGTTGAAAACCTATGCAAGAGTATAATTAGGGAAATATTAAATTAATAATGAGCCTAAATGTGTTTGGACAGAATTACCCTTACATTAAACAGTCACTTAACACCTCTGTTAGAAAAAGGACGAAAATTGCATCATAGCTTATAACTTAGGGATGAAAAGTGGGTATTTACAACACTTAGGGACGAATCCTACAATTACCCTATAACTTAGGGACGAAAAATGCACTTTTCCCTAATAATAATAATAAAATAAAATTACTTGGAGTTATTTTGATAAAGTGTTATAATTTTTACTTTGCTTGAAAAGTCTATTCACCCTCTTAGACTTTTCATCATCCATTCAAGACCAACATAATTTGTGCACATACCGTATGGTAATTAATTTCACTCTTTGGTAACCGTTTCTCAAAATTTGTTTAATAAAAAAAATAAAATAAAATAAAAATATTTTCAAAAGGTCTCCAACTCCCCAAACACATATATAATATCTAACTTTGTTTGGTAATTTGGTTTTATCTAGTTTGGTAGATATAGAGGATGTATATGTAGATTGCAACATTTCAATGATGTTGGAGATCAGAGGTGTACCACGCTCAAAATTCTCTCCATTACTCTTTTTCTTTTCTCATACACCTCTATTAATTTATGATTTCACAATTAACTCGAGTATTTATATAACCTCATATTAGGGGATTCTTTCAACATTAAGCCTGAGTAGACGCCTAATCGACCTGCCTATCCTTAGGACTGACATTGGTATAACCAATCAACAATAATCAGGCTTGCTACCAATAGTAAGGTTGGTGTTCGAACCAAAGGAAGGTTGACCCATCAATGTGGACAACACCTCCGCCTGTGCGTAATATTCTACACTCAAAACGATTGACTTCAAATTAAAAGACTCCCCAAACTCTAGTTGAAAGTCCAAACGAAGAAATGAAAACATCAAGATTAAAGAGGGAATACACAAGCATCGTCCATTTTAATTGTTCAAAAAGTTTATGATTGTTTTTCTTTATAATTTTTATGTCAAAAACTATTGTGTCTATTATTTTATTTGTTTTCTTATTCCACTATGGAGCCACAAATTGACTTATGGTCTATATATAATTAAGCTACTATACTATGGCATACACCCAAACATACATAGTCTGTCTGAAACAAATACAAGGATTTTGCAAGAGAAGTCCAAGCTAAGGTAGGCAGTAGCCCCATTACATTCAACAACTCCCACTTGAAAATTACAGATGGGCACAAGTTGTAAGGTTAGGAATTGAAAGAGAGAGCACAATATACAATAATATGAAGTGTTGGACAAGGGCAAGTGGGTAGATAAGGGTACTGGATTGGACCACTTAGATCTCACACAAATCAGAAATGCATGAGAGATCAAGTGTGTTGTCCACTTCTTCTTGGACTCTTTTTTGACTTGTAAACAATGATATATGGAAGAAAGGATTTCAAACAAGTAACAGTTGGGATGTTAGTTTTCTTTCAGATAAGGCTGTCCATACTGCTTTCTCTGCGAAAATCAACAAAGATAGGTATAGAAGAACATGCAAAATGACTGTTTGAATTGATTATTGATTGATGGATATATATGTAGGGCTATTGGGATTGCTGTGCTTTGTGTGCAGACATCAATTAACGTGCACTTTTTTTTTTTTTTTGCATTATTATTTTTGTGCACTTTATTTTAATTATATCTTGATATTTATCTTGTTAGAACAATAAACATGTTCAAACCAAATAATTAAGTTGTGATATGATCATGCAATGAGACAATATCTGTTCTACTGTTTCTTGGCCAAGCTTTTCTTGTTCAAAATGTACCCCTTGACCCTTTACCAATCCATGTCCATACTACCATTCCCTAGCAATGCTATAGAAAACTTGATTCGCGGGCTATTTCACAAATTTGAAGCTAAATTCTTTGGAGGTACTTAAAGCTTTTTTAATGATCTGGTCAAACGTACCCAAGACTGACTCTAATTCAATAGTCTTGCACACCACTTGAGTATCTATTTCCATTATGGTCTTCTTTCCATTGACAATATCTCAATCGGGTTGAACTGCATATCATAGTTCAGAGGACTCTCTTTTTCATTGTCATGTTTGTCACCCTGGATGAGATTCACATATGTCATGACCAGTTTTATCGTTTCACGCTTTATGAAAAAGAACTCGTCAAAACAACTAGAGGAAAATAAAACACAGAAACTACATACAAACAAAATTAAACCAGTAAAACAAAGCAAAGGGGAACATCAGTGCGAAATAAGTGAGTAACGACCGGTGGAGATGGAGGGGTACTGGGGCCAGGCGTAACCGGTGGCTTGGGTGAAGAATGGAAGAGAAGACAGTGATGTTAGAGAAGACAATGAAGGCGAACGTTGTCTGCAGTGAAAATGGCGGTAGGGGAAGACGATCGGACGCCTTTAATTTGTATCTATTTGGTGGATATAATAAAATAGGATCGAGCGTGTAAAATAATAGAGGTTAGCATTTACATCAATTGTTATACCATGGACTAGAGTTCACCTCGTATTGTGAATCATGATCTAAAAATTATGTGTTTTCAATTAATAAATATGTGTCGGTAATAAATTGAATTCACATAATATGTTAAATACATATTATGTGATTACAATTAACATATTGTGTGTTCTCATTTTATTTATAAGCATATAATCTATTAAGTGCAAAACACATCATTTAAATGTCATTTGGGATCAGGATCCACAATGTAAGGTACACCCTACTCCATGGTATAAAATTAAATGATTTAGAAGATCACGGTTAAACAAAAGTAATGCTGAAAAGAGACAAAATAATAATATCTCTACTAATAAATCTAATACGGCCTTTAAACGTCCCGTTGCTGTGGTGTAGTGGTTATCACGTCAGTCTTACACACTGAAGGTCCCCAGTTCGATCCTGGGCAGCAACATTTTATAATTCTATGGTAAAAGGGACAAATGCTGTTATACTTTTTATATCTTGAGAAACAAATGCTGTGTGTTGCTGTGGTGTAGTGGTTATCACGTCAGTCTTACACATTGAAGGTCTCCATTTCGATCCTGGGCAGCAACACATAGTGTTCTGGTGGTGGAGAAAACCAGTTTTTAATTGTCTTCCATTTCTTTTTCATTTACTGTGTAAAAAAATTTATGGGAAACACATAGCTTGCGTTTGCCGGGAGTCGAACCCGGGTCTATTGCTTGGAAGGCAATTATCCTAACTGTTGGACTACAAACGCTGAACTGTTAATTATTTGATTGTAAATATATAATAATTTATCATATACAAAAGATTGTAACAAAATATTAATGTTTATTTTTTGAAAGGTATAAATGTTATTTATTTTTACATATAATTTTTATTTTTTGAATGCTATTGACTACATTACAATGTATTATGGACATACTTTTTCAATCTATTGGAGTACAAAGAGTCAAAGCTCCCATATTAGAATTCGAACCTAAGACCTCTCATTTGAGGGGAGACAAATTATGTCATTCGACTACAAGACCTTCGGTATTTTTACATATAATTTAATTACAACCAATTGATGGAAACATAATACGTCATATTTTTTTTATCTCTAAACGTATAAATAGTGCAATATGATACTTCCAAATAAACTAAATTAAATTTCAAAGATATTAAAATATCTTTAAAATAGTATTCTTAACAAAAATTCAAATTTAAAAGTTGGAGGGAGCAAAGTTGGGACCTCACTTCAATAACTTTAGTATGCTAAACTTGTGTTTTTGGGCATATATAACGAATTTGAAAGAATTATTAAAATATGAGAAAATCAGAAGAATGACTCGTATATAGATAGAGATACATTTTAAAGATTAATTGGTCCAAGTGATTATCTACACGCCTATGCATTAGTTATGAGTTTGAAAATTAATATTGTAATCTATACATAATTTTGAAACAAATTTAAGTTAAAGATTCCGATGATATTTGATTGGACACTTTATATTTTAAGAAAAATGGGTTAAATAAGTCTCTAAACTTTATTCAAAAAGTCAATTAGGCTTTTAAATTTTTAGAAGTTGCAATTAAACTCACAAACATGTTATTTTGAAGTAATGAAACCCACTAACTTGTTGGTAACCTGTAATTGCAGGTCAATTAGGGTTCCAACCAACTCCAAGAACCTCCGACCGACCAAATTCTGACCCAAAAAAAAAAAAAAAAAAAAAAAAAAAAAGACAAATCCAGTGATTGGCAATCGTTGACGCTCGCCGGTCGCGTTTTGCCAAAGAAGGCGACCAATTTGCTCACCTTCTACACTACCAAATTCGGGGGATAACTTTCCTGCTTAGTCTATATTAGAT